CCCAACCAAGAAGAGACGCCTCATGTCAAAATTGAGTCCACAAGCCATTGCACAGCGATTTGCTGACGCCAGCTGGCAGACAGTGATGAGACGTGCCAATGTAATGGCCCCACGTGTTGGACCACTGGTGATTGACACTGGAGAAATCATTCATGAGATTTCCATGTTATGTCCTGAACATGAGATTAAACATGTGGTCCTTTGTCGTGGCACAGACCGGTATCCTGGCCCTACCAGAAATGTTCCACCAGGTAGTGCTCCTCTAAGAAAACGCATTTGCATCCGTCGCAAGCATCAAGATGTGGTTGTTGATGATGAATGGGAGCCCTGGGAGAAACTGACATTTAAAGGCTTGCGTCGAAAGGGAACGCCAGCCAGAGTCAGTCTGACCATATTTGCCAAAGCCAAGACAGTTGTAGGCCAAGAGATACCTGTTTCCGAACATGTTCCAGTGCAGTCTCAATCTTCTGCCGACGTCCGTGCTGTTCGCTCTGCTGAGTTCGAAGGATCAGAACCAGAACCAAAGCGACCGCGCACTCATGAGCCAATGGATGTGGCCCAAAGAGTTTCCGAACCAGAAAAGACCGAATCAATAGATCGTCATGTCATTGACCTAGCCTCTCAGAAACATGGACCATGTTTCATGATGTTGAAGCCAGAAACTCAGGCATGGCTTCTCAAAGTTCACCGAAACCTGGGTATGCGGGAGCTATGAAATTGACAGAGTTCTGTCGACAACTGGGATGCCCCAGTGAAATTCTCCAAGCCATCGGAGACCTGAAATGTTCAACATGTGCTGAGAATCAAGATCCCAAGATAGCTCGTCCAAGTTCCATACATGACCATGGGGATTTTGGAGATGTTGTTGCAATTGATGGTATCACATGGACTAATAAGATGGGGCAACAGTATAACATCTATCACATGTTGGATCAAAGTACATTGTATCACACTGCCGTGGTTACTCGTGCACATGATGCTGAACAGGCCATACATGCGCTTCACCAGGGGTGGATTCAATGGGCCGGACCTCCAGGTCTACTATGCATGGATGCAGGGACAGAACTGAACTCCAATGACTTCATGACATTTTTACAACGGTACTCAATCAAACATCGAACCATTGCCACAGAAGCACACTGGCAAAATTCCAGGATTGAGAGACATGGAGCTGTACTGCAAAGCATGTTGAACAAAATGGACACCGAAGAACCACTTGATTCCTTTGAAAAAGTAAGCCAAGCAACCGCTTTGGCCACTGCAACCAAAAATCAATGGAGCCGTCACAGGGGTTATCCACCAGAAGTCCTTGTGTTTGGAAAGTCAAGTAAGGTAGCCGGTTCAGTAGTTTCAGATATGCAGTTGCCTTCCCACAGTTTGGCCATTGATGATCGTCCTGAAGGTCTCCGATTTAGAGAGGAACTGGCCCTGCGAGAACGCGCACGTCGCGCCTTCACTGCCACTGACAATTGTCAGGTCCTAAGAAGAGCCCTGGTCCAAAGGAGTAGACCCAATCGGGGCAAGTATGTCCAGGGAGATCATGTCATGATGTGGCGAAAACGTGGTGAAGCTGATGGCTCTTGGATAGGTCCCCTTCGAGTTGTGTTGCAAGAAAGTTCACATGTTGTGTGGATCACCATGGGCAGCAAGCTGTATCGCGTAGCTCCGGAACACCTCCGACCGCTGTCAGCAGTTGAGGAGTGGCAACACCGATCCACAATCAATGAAAATCAATCAGGTGATTCGCCAAGTTCCACGTCACCAAATCAAAGCATTATCCCACGACATGGCGGAGTACAATATCACAATTTAATTCCCACTGAAGCACCAAGTTCAACTACCACTGCCAATAATCAAGATGTGAATCAGATTCCAATAATCCCCAATGAAGATAACCCTGACGTTTCAGTAATCCCAATAAGTGGCAGTAACTCTGAACAACCTGATGGTGAACCAGTTCCCAACAACCAGGATCCCTCCGAAAATGTTGAACAGCCACCCAATCCAGTGGAAGTGCCAATTCCAGATACGGATGATGAACTCTTTGTGGAAGCCGATCATGTTTTCCAAGTTGATAATGATCAATGCTGGAAATTAGAGATTCCCATTTGTGCTCAAGACATCACCCGCTGGCGTGAGGAAACAAAACCCCAGGAAATGGCTTTCCTTGTTTCAGCAGCAAAACGACAGCGCAGTGAGGTGAAACTGTCAGATCTCACAGCTGAAGATCGCGAGCATTTCCGGCAGGCCAAGATGAAAGAAGTGGAAAGCTGGATCAGTACCGAGACTATCACAAAAATCATGCGTAATCAGATCCCAAAAGCCAACATTCTCCGAAGCCGATGGATTTTAACTTGGAAAGAAGTTGATCCCACAGCTGATCAACCCCAACAATCCCAGAAAATGAAACCGAAGGCTAGACTAGTTGTGCTTGGTTTTGAAGATCCTGAAGTATCAGAAATTCCCCGTGATAGTCCGACAATGAATAAACTGACCCGGATGCTTCTCCTTCAGTACTGTGCCAGCCGAAAATGGGATATCCAAAGCTTCGATGTACAGACTGCATTTTTACGAGGCAGCGAGCAGAGCAATCGCGTTTTAGGCATGGAACCACCAGAAGAGATGCGACAGAAACTCAAGCTCCGTCAAGATGAAGTGGTGCAACTTCTCAAAGGTGCCTATGGGCGTGTTGACGCACCATATCTCTGGTTTGTTGAACTGAAGAAGACCCTAGAGGAGCTGGGATTCCAAGCATCACCGTTTGATCCGTGCCGGTTCCATCTGAGTGACCCCAAAACCCAGGAGACACAAGGTCTGATTGGTGTTCATGTTGATGATGGGTTGTGCTGTGGGAATGAAACTTTTCAGAGCAAGCTCAAACAACTGGAAGCCAAGTTTCCTTTTGGATCCCGTAAGATGCACAAATTTGTGTTCACTGGTTTACATGTCACACAAGAAGCTGATTACACTATCACAGTGAACCAGTCACAGTATGTTCGGGATATTCATGCAATTTCCATCTCTCGTGATCGAAGGTGTCAACCAGACAGTGTCGTCACAGAACAGGAACGACAAGCGTTGCGAGCTCTGATAGGGAGCCTACAGTATGCAGCTGTAAACACGAGACCTGACATATGCAGCCGACTGGGTTGGCTTCAAAGCCAAATCAACAAAGCAAAAGTGTCCACATTGGTTGAAGCAAATCGAACCCTCGTGAAGCAAAACAACATTCCAATGTGGCCCTTCGAATACAATCCATACCAGTTCCTGATTTGCGGTTTGTTGCTTTTTCCGATGCCTCCTTTGCGTCAGAGAAATGCCCTGACTCACATCAGGGAATGATGATCATGTCTGCTCACAAGTGCATTGGTGAAAATAGACGCAGTCCAATCAATCCAATGGTATGGCATTCTAAGAAAATCCAGAAGGTAGCAGTCAGCACGTTGTCAGCCGAAGCAATGGCTCTGGCAGGAGCAGTGGATATGCTTTCTTGGGTGCGCCTTTTCTGGGCATGGATATGTGATCATCGCTGTGATTGGAGACAAGCTGATAGCACTCTCCTCCGACTTCCACCAGCATTTTCAGCGTTGACACCAGAACTGCCTGAGAAACAGCCGATGCCTGAAGTTGCCAAAAGAATCCTCAATGATATTCCCAAGGAACGTTCTGATTTCATTACCACTGATTGTAAATCACTCTTTGACTTAATCAACCGTAATGCTCCCCAACTTGCACTGAATTTCGTACTCAACTTCAAGCCAAGCTGATTCGAGAACATATCCAAAACGGCATTCAGATCCGATGGGTTCCATCAGCCGCTCAAGTAGCTGATGCGTTGACAAAAGTCATGGACAATACCATGCTTAGGACATGCTTACAGCAAGGTCACTACAGTTTGCATGACGAGCATGAAATACTCAAGGCAAGATCAGATGCTCTCAATCCCGAAAGTTCAGAGCATCGGTAGTATGTGGAAAAGCCAAGCCGTCCATGCGCTATCCGATTGAAGTTCTGAAAACCCAATTAGATCTTTCGATGATGCAAGCATGGTCTCTGCCTCACAGGAGACAACTACCAGTGATGAGGTTGACATTGTCTTCAATGCGTAATCAACTGGGTATTTTTCAACATCATGTCCGTGATTGTCTTCACCATCCTGATCACCGAAGTCGTATCTGGAATGTGCACATGATGAACAAAATTTTGATATTACGAATGTGAAAGCCAGGCCAGTTCACATGTGCTTGAGGTCATTCCCTCATTTAACCAGGGGGTTCTTCCAGAAACCAATTGTTGCCGCAGCCTCTGGGCTGGAGGGAGGGATTAGCTTGAGCAATAGCGCTATCAGTGACGCTTAGTGGATACAGCTGTGGCCAGCTGTGGGTGCGTTGGACTGATTGCAGGTCGTGGCTTCGCATTGGGCAAAACAGGAGTTTGCATTGCTGGACAGGGTTCCAACTGGGATTAGGATTGGAAGTGAACAAGCTACCAGTGTCAATCTGACAACATATACTGTATATATATACTATTTTTATATATATATATATGCTATTTATGTATATATATATATCTGTGTGTGTGTGTGGGGCCCAAAAATGCCCAATTCCGCAACCTTTATCAGGGTTGTTTTTTTGTTGAAATGTCAAAATTAGGGCAAAAAGGACCTACAAAGTCGGGGATGGTTCTAATTCGGCTGTCTGCTGAGGATTCCCATAGACTATACCAGTAATCAAACGCAAGGGGAAATCCTCTTGAAATGGGGATGGGTCAAAACCCTGGTACCTAGTGAACCCCAAAATAGCTGGTAAATGGATGTTCATCCCACTAAAAATGTATCTATAGGTATTGACCCATACCCAAATGGAGGTTTTAATGGGAAAATCTATAAATGGTGAGTCTTCCATTGCCACCTTCGATTAGAGGCTAACAATCCCCAACTGAGTCGCCAGACTATGGCCGTGTCTCATCATCCACAATTCCCAGGTCTCAGCATTAGCATCTGTTTGAAAATCTGGTGCAGCACGCATCCTCCGGCTTTGCGGCAGAAATGTGTCCGTGTTGGACAGATCAAGCGCTTCAGCAGTCTCCCAGCTGACATTCAAATCATTCAAAGGCCGGCAATCTTTGCACCGTACCTCCCGTACCTCACTCTCAAGAAGTTCTTTTATGACTCATTTCAACATACGGTGGGTGGAAGAAATCCTGCACCATCTTGGATGGTTGAAACCCTATAAATAATGGGATAAACCACCTATCAACTGGTGCAGGATTTCTTCCATCCACAGTATTTCAACTACCAGCGAGAAGGAACAGAATCAGTGCCAAGACAAACATCAGCAGCATGGCTCCGAAGATCACTTTGGTCTTCCATCTGGCCCCATGCAGTTCACCCCAGACCAGCACCCCCCAGGTGGCGCAAACCAGCGGCTGACACCGCGTGATGGACATCGCAATGGCGTTCCCCAGCACTCGACCTGCCTGGATGGAGAGCAAACAGCCCAAGCCGTGGGCGAAACCTCCCGAGAGGCCCAAGAAGTGTTGCCAGGGCGTCAGTTCTGAATAGCTCCTAACCAAAAAAGCCGAGAATTGCGAGAAATAGCTGGAAGATGGTAGGATCAAAAACAGGCTAAAACGATGATTTTGCTTTATGGTGGATATATATGATATCTATATATATAGTTAGATGAAATTTCAAAGTGACCCACTAAACTTCGTAGGTGGTGAACCGGGGCACCGGTGTCAAACGGGTTGTTCATCTATGTGATTTGAAGGTAATGAAAAAAACACCAATGGAAAAGATCTGGAAACACCTTTCCCTTATGAGTAGATCATCACCAAAACCATCGATGTCCCATCCCTTGGCAGCTTTCCCCTTTCGGCCTCCAAAAGTTCAAGTTCACACCGGTATGCAACGGCCAGCGACAGAGCGGTGGAAGCAGCAGCAACACCGCGATCACCGCCCCCAGGGCGTAGACGAAGAAGAAGGCCGAGGCGTTGAGTTTCGGCCCCGAGTCCCACGTGGTCCACTGGGTTTGGCCCTCGACCAAAGATCCCAAACAAGGCCAGGTGGAAAAGCAGAAACCTCCGCAGGCCGCAAAAATCAGGCCCAGGTTGGCTTTTTTGACTCTGCGTGCTGGCAGGGGACCGCTTCTTCCGGTCAGCACCTGAGCAGTGGGTTTAAAAATAAACTGGTGAGATTTCAGCACTAGAATCAGCATCTTTAACAAACCTAGTAGTAGTATAGTTTCGGTTATATCCCCAATCATCGCAGCTCAAAGTCCTCCATATGTTGCTTACAAAAATGACATCAAAATATCGCAACACAATGAAATACAAATCAACTTTGAAATCAACTCTGAGTTCGTCTTCCATGCTTCTTGCTAATCTTTCTTCCATGTATTTTCTTCTCATCAAAACCTTAGAACCTGGAAAGACTGGACTTGAATCAGTCGATCTCCATGTTTTACTTGTCACTGTCATCCACCGGGTTTCATAGGTACTCACCCCCACATTTTTACCTCGATCCATAGGAGTTCCAATCTTTTTTGCCCATTTTGACATGCTTGATGCTTCATTGGTTGCTAATATCCCCATATATCTATTGGTCATACACCCATTTATGCTTGGCGAATCCCGTGTCTTCTTGTTAATGTCAAATCCCATTTGTTTCAATGCTAAAATCAGAGGTTTTAGTGCTGAAATCCACTTCTTGAATGTGCGATCCATGTCTTTTCATAGCGAAAGCGGGTGAAATCAAACAAATCCATGTTAAATCCATGAATTTCATGCTTGAAAGCATATGGCTTTCATGCTTAAAATCAATGAAATCCACACCTCAGGCCCCAATTCATGTTGCAAATGCCAAGTGAAAACTGGCTCAGCTCCCCAGTTTTCAGCACCTGCTGGGAACTCATGGAGCTCGGCAACGCCCCCGAACCGTGCGTCAGAAAGGTGAGCCGCGCCGCATCTTGCGGCGCTTCCAGGCTGCGTGCCAGGGAGGAGGCTGTGGCATTGGGTACCAGGGTGGAGGTGGCACGGAAGGACCAGAAACTCAAACTGCTGAATTGGCTGGATAAACCTCAGGTTGAAAAAGGTTGGGATGGCGACCGGCAAAAATGATGGAGTCTTGTTTGGGAAGATTGAGGGATAAACTTCAGAAAACGCTAGAAGATGTTGAGAAAATGTTGGAAAGCTGGGAATAACCTAAGGATGCTGGCGGCCTCTCCATCTCCATCCACAGACGGATGGCCTTCCCCAGTTCTGTGCGGACATACCCATGGTTCCAACAAGAGGTACTTATAAGAAATGGTGAGGTCCACTGTCTACAACTTCTTGGTGTCCAACTAACCCATCTATGAACAATGCCCCAAATCCTCTGTCACTCCTTCGGCTTGCAGGGTCCCCACATTGGACTGCAAGCAAACACCAGGGATTTATGCACTGCTCATCTCTCCATCTCATGTTCTTCAAATCCCCAAATTTTGCAAGCTTCATCCCCACATGTTGCTGATAAATCGCCAACTTCTACGAGGCCAAACTGTTGCGCATCTGAAATCCCACTGTTTGCTGACATATCGACTTTTGCTGGTGCTTTTCCTGTCTCTAGTTTGGGTGGCTTTTGGGCTTGCGGGCCCTGGTCCCCGCCAGAGGGCCCCAAGCAGAGAAGGAGAGAGAGAAAGGAAGGCAACGGGGACGCCAGAAGCAGCAGAGCCGGCCCACTTTTCTTCATCTCTCCCCAGCTTCCCAGCTTTTCTGCCAAAGCACCAAAGCAGTGCCCCGGACCCCCCTCGCTTCCGTTGCTGTTTCGGTCGCGCTGCAGGGACCCGTGACACCAGGCGTCCAAGAAAGCAGCCAGCAGCACCAAGCAAATGCCAAGGAAGCTGTACGCCAACTGCATGGATGTACCTCGGGCCGCAGCCATGGCATGGCAAAAGTCGAGACATGGAGAAAATATGTGGATTGTTGTATTCCATAAAGTTGGGACTAAATCATCTAAAGTGGCAGAATTCGATGATATTTGTTGTACACCTCTAGATTTGGTGGCTAAAAGAAGATTCAGTATTTACGTTTGATCTTCATCTGAGTTTCAGGTCATGCTTGTCTTAAACAATCTCAAACAATCTGGTCAAGAGATGACGCTACTTTCTGGGGTTGTAAGCCCAACTTTCCAGTTCAACCCTCAATCTGATAGCCCCAACTGCCAATGTCTGAAAGGAATGAAGCTGCACTGGACACCTTGGTAAGGCGCGTTGCAAGTCTTGGTTAAAGCAGCTTTCCAAACCATAAGCCCAGTGGACTTTGGATCTCTCATTGGTCGAAAATTGGATTGTTCCTTGCCAAGAATTGACAAGACTTTGGAATTTGAAGGCTCAAAAATTGACTGGCCCACAGCCTTTCGAAGAAGGATGATCACATCTTTGGAAAACACATGAGTTTGTCTAAATGTGAGGGATGTACCCCAACATGTGGCCATAAACAAAATGAGGAAAGAGGTTTTAATTCCCATCAGCTTTTGTTAAGTTGTGGGGTCTTCCATGCTATTCCCCATTTTCAGACCAACCCACGTAATACCGTAAGAACTTCGAAGATATGGGTTTGTCTGAAACTAGTACCTCGAAATCCGTTGGTTTATCATGATTTTTGTGGAGGGGGTTGCACTATTTTCAGACATACCCAAATATCAGATTGTTGATTTTTATATCCCTTTTTTAATCCCATAAATTCCCATAAATCCCATGTTTTTTTCCCCACAAAAACATCCCATTTGGAGGTTTCCTGAAATGGGGATACCCCGGATACCCCCAAATCATCCATTTTGTTTGGGATGTTCATTTATAAACCATCCCGCTACAGAAATATCCCCCATGACTTTGGAAATTCTCAACAACTGTTCCAAGTACCCCATCCTTCCAGCAGCAACAGCATGGGCATCCCTATAGCCATCTCTATGCTGAGCAAGATGAGCGTCGGCAACGCCATGCCTTGACTTGTTCGGAACTGATGGACAGCTCTGGGATGGCCACTGTTAATATATCATATTATATAATGGATCATCATTGATGCCATGGATCCATATATATTGTATAGTCTATAGTATATCATGGATCCATGGCATCAATGATGATCCATGAATTTCTGCACCCTTTTCCCCCAAAATCCCACCTGCCAGATCCAAGGAAGCCACAGCCAACAGGGATCCCAGGGCAAAGAGTGCCCCCGCCAAAGCGCTGAGCAAAATCATCGCGAAGCCTCCGGCAGACACCGTGTCATTCAGCGATGGCAGCGCATCGTGAAAGGTCAGGAAACCGGCCAAAAAATGGCCCAGGATATAGTTGAACAAGTAGAGTTCGAAACGCGTCCCGAACAACAGCAGGGTGTTGGCCCAAGAACCCCAAAGAAACATGGCACAGAGAGCAAGCAGTAAAGCCGCCTGCTTCTCCATGGAGAATTTGGTTCAAAAGAGTCCAGGTGACAGCTAGAATCAAAGTCAGTGACATGGCGTACTGGTTCCTAAAACTCAGATGACACCTGTTCTGGAGTTTTTAAGTTCAAGTGCAATTAAACACAAAAAAAAAGTAACTGCAGATTCCATTCGAATGTCTATGTTTTCAGTGTGTATCCAAGCGAGCCACGTTGCTCAACTGTCGACCGGCGACGTCACTGTGTCTGAATTGGGGTGACAAAAACCTCCCAGTGATGGCCCATGTTCTTCGGGAAAATGATGATGTCATGGTGTTGTAGGAATGGTGGAGAAAACATGTTCAAACAAATCCGAATTATGGATTCATTCCAATCAAGATGCGAATGCTTCGCGGTTGGGGAAAAAACTCACAACTGTTGATTGCATGCCTATGCCTATGCTCGTACGTCATATTGCCCGTTTGTATCGTTTTCTGTTCCGGTTTGATAATCATTAGTTCCAGTGTTGCTTCGCAGTGCAGGAATACGACTGTAAGTATACGAAACTAATCCATCTCTATTCCATGTTTTCTGTATCACCATGTTCATGCGATCTATTGTCCCCATCTGACCCAGTGCTGGCTGCAAATCCATACTAGTGTGTCCTGATCGGCTCGTTGGTGGTATGGCGCATAAGAAATCAATTGAAGTGAATAGAAATGGTACAACCCGCAGTCAGCAGTCAACAATTATCATTTCTGGATAGAAGATCCCATGGCTGGACACACAACATCCTGTTGATTGCATAAGTTGCATCTCCACTGTATCCCCATAGAATACTCCCATAAAACGGTTGGTGTTTCAGTCACCAGTTTGGCTTGTTGAATCCCCCATAGTTACCATAGTTTTCATGCAAATTCAGCCAATGTCCGACTACATTCCTAGAGAATATCTTCAAAGAGTATCCAATTTTAATAGTCGGTATCCCATTATGTCCCCAGTGTATCCACATTGTATCCACATGTTTCCTAGACGAATCCCCATTTTTGATGGTTACATTACCATCAAATTTGCATTAAATCTATACAATGTGACTCATCCAAACACGACTAGTATGATTGCTATTGATATGGTAAATTACCATTGCTATTACCTGTATTACTACCAGTAGTACCGCACAAGGCGGTGGCGGAAGTTTCAAAAATAGGAAACTTATAGGAGAGGTTGGTTGTTGTGAATCACGGATGGCAGAGCGAAGCCACTGATGTATCAAAAGGTGATTGATGTCTCCTCTCTCTCTCTCTCTTTCTGTCTCTTTCTCTGACTGTCTACCTACCTACCCACCTCTCTATCTATGTATCCATCTATCTCTCTCTCTCTCTCTCTTTGTTGTCTGTCTGTCTATCTCTCTATCTATCTATCTATCTATCTACCTATCTACCTTTCTACCTATCTACCTATCTCTATCTACCTATCTACCTATCTACCTATCTACCTATCTACCTATCTATCTATCTACCTATCTACCTATCTACCTATCTACCTATCTACCTATCTACCTATCTACCTATCTACCTATCTACCTATCTACCTATCTACCTATCTACCTATCTACCTATCTACCTATCTATCTATCTATCTATCTATCTATCTATCTATCAGCCTCCAAAGGTGCTCGCTTTCTGCCCGCTGTCTATTCCATGTCTCTTCTCTGCCACTGAGGCCTTCACCGGCCGAGGATTATCTATCTATCTATCTATCGATCTATCTATCTATCTATCGATCTATCTATCGATCTATCTATCTATCTGTCGATCTGTCTATCTATCTATCTATCTATCTATCTATCTGCAAGATTGAAAACGAAGCTATTCTGCGAGACTTCCTCAGTTTTTGAACTTGACAACATCCAAAAATGCAGCAATTCAGCGAGACTTCCTCAATTTTTGCACTTGACAACATCAAAAACGAATGAATTCTGCGAGACATCCTATTTTTTCTAAGTTGACAACATCAAAAACGAAGCAATTCTGCGAGACGTCCTTCAAAAATTAAAAGTTGTGCAGAGCTGAGGGCCTCGTACCAATGCGTTTTGCGAATTTTCCAGTCCATCTGTCTAAATTACTGCGCCTGCCACAAAAAAGCGATGCCAGGTCACATACACACTTGATGCTACTCTGTAAGATCTTTTCTTCAACAACACTCTGAAAGGTTCATGGGTGGAAGTTCAGAAGTCCAAGCAGTCATCAATGCTTAAATATGTTGGAGAACAATCGCAGCAAGCCGTCGCGCTACATACAGTGTTAGATCTTTTGGTGCATGTTCGACACACTTGCTGCTAAACGGTAAGACCGTCGCCATCTGGCAGAAAACTCACGTGCACAAGCGAGGAGAAAGTCACGTGTAGAAGCGAGGGGAAACTCACGTGTACAAGCGAGTGGTCGCCCCTTATAGTAGGATTGCTGATGGATTAACAGTTATTGATGAATCCCGAGTCACTTACCATTCACAATTACTCAACTATTCTCAGACAAACCTTCTTGAAATGGTTGTTGATTCTGATTCTAACTCATTAGTAGCTAAGTTGAACATGATGACAACTCATTGGATTAAGAGTTTTCCACTTTTTGGATTATGGTTATTTTGTCCAATTATTGATTATTCAATGTTCCACTTATTTTCCACTTATAAGGTGAATATAGTTACATGCTATTTAATAATAATTGTTGATTGTAACTCCAACTCTTCTCTGCTCATTCGAAAATCTCACACTCGTCGGCTCCACGGTGTCGCTGCCATGGGTCATGCCTAGAAAGCCACCGGGGAAAACTACCACAGTTCGGAGAAGCGAGTGCCAGTGGACATGCGAAACTGCTTCCAAATGCTTTTGTAATGGTGTGCAATGGTTTTAGGTGACATTAAATGGATTTATAGCGGTTTATCATGGTTTTGGGTGGAGTAATCTAGGAAAATCTTGGGATTATTGTTGGAAAATCACCATCAAACATGGGGATTTAATACAATCGATTTTATACTCTGGGAAATCTGGAGAGTATTAGAAATCCTCCAATTTAAGATGTTTGGTTTTCATGGGGATGCTCAGTTCATTGACGGCGATCCCCATGTCACCATGGCTTGCAACACAACTAATGCTCTGAGCAATTGAATGATTTAAGTATGATTTGCGGGTACTCCAGTTGCAGAAATCCACAAATAATACAGGAGTGTTGTTTGTACATACATGTACATATATATATATATACATACACCTGCATATATATATACATATACTTTTACATTTACAAATACATATACATCTATATACATCTACATATACATATACATATACATAAACACATACATCTACATATACATCTACATATACATCTACACCTACATATACATATACATATAATGTCAAGTCAGGATTAATCAACACCTCCTGCCTAATCAACCCCCACTGCCCGAAAAAAATAAAAACAGGTGGTCCCGCCGGATTAAAAAACTCCTTGGCCTACCCCCGATTAATCAACCCCCAGTGCTGAAATTCACTTTTTCTTACCCAAAATTCTTTATTTCCAATTCTTTTTGTTTCTCATCGCACCTCCAGTGCTGAAATGCCTTGTTTCCAAAATTATTGATTTCCAATTCTCTTTTTTTTGGGCACGAGGCTGAGAATGAGCCAAAATGGCTGAAGATATTCAACCTCCAGTGCTGAAATTCCCTTGTTTTCTATCCAAAAATATTCATTTCCATTTCTTTTTGTTTCCCATCATGTCTCACCAATCTCAGAACCATGAGATTTTAGCAATCAAATCTCATCAAATCCAATTGAATCTTGTGGGGTCCATGAGATTTTAGCAATCAAATCTCATCAAATCCAATGGCATCTTATAGGATCCATGAGGTTTGGGCAATCAAATCTCATCAAGCCCACTTGAATCTTATGGGATTCATGAGATTTTAGCAATCAAATCTCATCAAATCCAATGGAATCTTATGAGATCCATGAGATTGTTGCAATCAAATCTCATCAAACCCAATGGAATCTTATGGGATCCATGGGATTTTAACAATCAAATCCAACAAATCCAATGGAATCTTATGGGGCCCATGAGATGTTCGCAATCAAACCTCATCAAACCCAATGCAAGCTTATGGGACCCATGAGGTTTAGCATTCAAATTTCATCAAACCCAATGAAATCTTGTGGGATCCATTGGATTTTAGCAACCAAATCTCATCAAACCCAATGGAATCTTTTGGGCCCCATGCTATTTTAACAATCAAACCTCATCAAATCCACTGGAATCTCAAGGGATCCATGAGATTTTAACAATCGAATCTTATCAAATCCAATGGAATCTTATGGGATCCATGAGATTTTAACAATCAAATCTTATCAAATCCAATGGAATCTTTTGGGATCCATGAGATTTTAACAATCAAATCTTATCAAATCCAATCGAAATTTTGGGATCCATGAGATTTTAGCAATCAAATCCCATCGAACTCAATGGAACCTTGTGGGATCCAATGGATTTTAGCAAGCAAATTCCATCAAATCCAATGGGCTCTTTTGGGATCCATGGGGTTTTAAAATTCCAATGCGATCTTATGGGATCCAGTGGATTTTAGCAATCAAATTCAATCAAACCCAATGGAATCTTGTGGGACCCATGGGATTTTTGAAATCCAATGGCTTCTTCTGGGATCCACGAGGTTTTAGCAATCAAATCTCATCAAATCCACTTGCATCTTATGGGATCCATGACATTTTAGCTATCAAATCTCACCAAATCCAATAGAACCTTTTTGGGACTTTTGGATTCCAGGAGATTTTAGCAATCAAACCTCATCAAATCCAATGGAATCTTTTAGGGCCCATGAGATTTTAGCAACCAAATCTCATCAAATCCAATGGAATCCTATGGGACCCATGAAATTTGAGCAACCAAATCTCATCAAACCCAATGGAATCTTTTGGGGCCCATGACACTTTGGAAATCCAATTGAATCTTATGGGGTCCATGAGATTTTAGCAATCAAACCCCATCAAACCCAATGGAATCTTATGGGATCCATGGGGTTTTAACAATCAAATCTGATCAAATCCAATTGAATCTTATGGGGCCCATGCTATTTTAACAATCAAGCCTCATCAAATCCACTGGAGCCTGAAGGGATGCATGGGATTTTAGCAATCAAATCGCATCAAACCCAATGGAATCTTATGGGATCCATGGGATTTTAGCAACCAAATCTCATCAAATCCAATGGAATCTTTGGGGATCCATGAGATTTTAGCAATCAAATGTCATCAAATCCAATTGAATCTTGTGGGATCCATGGGGTTTTAGCAATCAAATTCCATCAAATCCAATGGAATCCTGTGGGGCCCATTAGATTTTACAGAAATACAATGGAATCTTATGGGATCCACGAGGTTTTAGCAATCAAACCTCATCAAACCCAATGCAAGCTTATGGGACCCATGAGGTTTAGCATTCAAATTTCATCAAACCCAATGAAATCTTGTGGGATCCATTGGATTTTAGCAACCAAATCTCATCAAACCCAATGGAATCTTTTGGGCCCCATGCTATTTTAACAATCAAATCTTACTAAATCCAATTGAATCTTATGGGATCCATGAGATTTTTGCAATCAAATGTCATCAAATCCAATGGAATCTTATGGGATCCATCGGATTTTAGCAATCAAATCCAACAAATCCAATGGAATCTTATGGGGCCCATGAGATGTTGCAATCAAACCTCATCAAATCCAATGGAATCTTTTGGGGTTTATGAGATTTTAGCAAACAAATCTCATCAAACCCAATGCAAGCTTATGGGACCCATGAGGTTTTAGCATTCAAATCTCATCAAACCCAATGAAATCTTGTGAGATCCATGAGATTTTAGCAATCGAATCTCATCAAATCCAATGGAATCCTCTGGGGCCCATGAAATTTCAGCAATCAAATCTCATCAAACCCAATGGAATCTAATGGGATCCATTGGATTTTAGCAATCAAATCTCATCAAACCCAATGGAATCTTTTGGGCCCCATGCTATTTTAACAATCAAACCTCATCAAATCCACTGGAATCTCAAGTGATCCATGAGATTTTAACAATCAAATCTTTTCAAATCCAATAGAATCTTATGGGATCCATGAGATTTTAACCAGCAAATCTTATCAAATCCAATGGAATCTTTTGGGGCCCATGAGATTTTAGCAATCAAATCTCATCAAACCCAATGGAATTCTATGAAGATCTAATTGACTTAAGCCATATCGAAAATTTTATGGTTCAGAGGTGCTTACTATTAAGGGGGAACACCAGGAAAGACATATATAGAATATGGGATTTTCAAAGATATTCCATCACCACCCTGTCGCCCGGAGCACCGCGCTGCTTCGTCACTGCGACGAAGTGGGTGCGAAGCGCGGAGCGCCGAGTCAGCTGTATCTACAATATTAATTTTTCCCATGGTTTCATAGGGTTTATCCATTTTTCATGGGATATTAACAAGATATTCATGGGATTGAATGGAATATAAATGGGATTTCATTGCATATAAAATCATCCATCTAATATTGTCCGAAATTGTTTTTTTTCAGCCCCCAAACACCCACTGGATTAATGGGTAAAATGATGCTTTATTGGGTTTGGATTTTGGGGTATCCTATTTCAAGACAACCCTATAAAAAAAAAGGTGTGTAACATCGCTAAAATATCGGATTTGTCAAAACTCTATGTAGATATATGATGATATAGTTTCTGAGCCACCATCACAAAGTGTGGCTTTGTGATCGTGCGAGTCCTTAACCCATGGCTTAGCATTTAGATTTTCATTGCCTTTGACTCCAGCCTTAAGCCCGACAGCTAGAATGCGGAAAGGGCAAGCACTGGTTGATCCCCAGCAATACGATATTCGGGGTACCTTTCAGGGATTTAACCGACAAGAATTCGGAAACAAACAATAAAATGGGGATAGAATGGGATATGCAATATGCAATGTAATATAATGGGATACAATGGGATGTGCAGCCAACAATATGATAAGGGTTTTGTCTGATATGGCAAAACCTCTAAATGGTATACCTGTATACTCCATATCTATTCACACCAAAACTTGCCAACAACTGTGAATGGACAGAAGCCGGACTCCCTTCAGTTCCAAGGTCTCAGAATCAAACAGATCATAGGCATGAATCACGGGCAGGCATTTGACCGAAGGACGCCCCTTGCACCACTATTTGCCAATTAAATCCAATGAGTACAAGTAAGAAAATACACATCTTGGATCCCTGAAAAACCATGGATACCCTACTGGATAAATGGGGCAACTTGCCATGGCCAGGGTACTCCCTCATTCCTGGAGTATCACAAACCGATTACATACCACTGTTTGGGACCCAATGTGGCACACAGTCATATCAGCTTCATCATTTCCAAGCACCCTGTAGCATGCTAAAGTTTGACTCCCAAAAACTCGAACTTGCGACTTTTACAGACTGCCGTTCTTTTCAATGATCCATTACTGCTTGAACTGATTGATCTGCACTGCCGGCCTTTTACCTCGCACGTTTCACAAGTTGGATTGTTCTTGCCAGAACGGAGACGGTTTTCTTCGCTCCTCAACATTGGCGGAATAACGGTGCAGTGGAGAAGGGTCCACCGATGGCATGTCCCAAAACTGAACCAAGGTCCATAGGGTGCGTGTGGGACTTTGGTACCATGTGAGATATTCCAAGAAATGCGTGGCATCTGGTTGCATGTGATGACCAGTTTCTGTTGTTTTGGGACATACCGCGACATATTTCGGGTATGGCTCATCCAATTGGGCTTCAACGGATGCGTTTGGGGTATGGTTTGGGTCATCACTTTGACCCGGCCATGGCCCATACCCTCAGGAATTTCGGAACCTTCTCACTTTGATCTGGATCCGGGCCGAGCTGAAGGTGAGACATGCTGGAGAAAACTCAGCAGCGGAAGGGGTAGATCCAGCTATTTCCCACAACTGTTTTTTCAGGGAAAATCTGCAGGGAAAAAAAATCGTAGCGAAAGGAAAAAAGCAGACCTGCAACTCTGGTCTCTTGTAGATGCTCCCTTTGACCAATCCATTGATGGTCTCAAGATGTGTCAAAACTCGACCTTAGAATGTTAGTTCCTGTAGATCTTCCCTTAGTCCACTGGGAAAACAAGCGAAACCTCTTCGCAAACCTGCGCTGTCCAGTGGACATAGGGACGCTGACGTTGAGATGGGACCACAATTTTGGGACCGTTGCCTCTATCAAAAAGCTTGTGTTTCAATTCTCCAACGTTTGACCATTATGAACCAATGTTAACCATTATTAACCATTCTTAACCATAATTAACCATTATTAACCATTACCAACCAATAAAAAACCATTCTTAACCATTACTAACAATTAATGAACCAAATAAAACCATTCTTAAGCATTATTAACCATTATTAACCATTATCAACCATAATTAAGCATTATTAACCCATATGAACCATAATTAAGCATTATTAACCCATATGAACCATTCTTAAGCATTATTAACCAATATGAACCATGATTAACCAATATCAACCATTCTTAACCATGATTAAGCACTATTAGCTATGGTTAATCATAGTTTTTTGGGTCACCCAAAAGGAACATCTGCTGAAATTCCTCTGAGCTCTCCAGCTGATGAGACGTTTCAGGTGTGTCGCCAATCAACACTCCATGTGGGCACCAGCACGGTTCGGCGCCACCTGGCTTCCGGGCCCCTCCTCAGCAAGCCTCTCCTTGACCAGCTCCATTAAGGAGGCCTTGAAGGATCCATCCTGGACATTGTGGGGATGGGTCAAAATTTCACAAAACTACCAGGTACCATTTTATGTATATATATATATAGAGAGAGAGAGTATATATATATTAAAAGATATGTATGTAGTATATATATATGTAATGTATATAGTATATATTATATAATATGTATATAGTATACATGAAAATATGTATATAGTATATAATATATAATATGTATATAGTATATATTATATAATATGTATATAGTACATATGATATAATATATTTATATATATAGTTTTGTATTAAGTACTGGGGAGTAACAGTTTAGAAAAATGTGAAAAGATCTAAGATGTTATCCCCAATATTGATATACTAATGTTATACTTCATGTGTATATATATATATATATTACATATAATATGTTTGGTCCGGTATTAACCGTCTATACCCATGCTGGGTCTACTGTGTTTTTCGCACCGCCATAACTTTTTTTTGCGGCGGTTGAATGAGTTGGATGTTCCATTGTCAATTTTTCCATGTATCAAAATTGTCAAAATCTCTGCCTTCTGCTGGGCCAGGAGCAATCATTTCCAGACCCACTATTGCTTATTTGTTAAAGCGCTTTACCCATCCAAAAACAGGACTATTGTAGCCCCCAGTAAACGTTTCCATAGACGTGGAAAGCCCACGTAAATCATTTTCCTAGGGTTTCACCATGGGTTTTCCAAAGAAAGGCCGCGTTGTCCTCATCGGCCACATCCAGAGGAGCTTTTTCGTCGGCATTTTTCAACCTCAGGTCCGCCCCAGTTGTTTTACTGGATTAACTTCCCTTATGTACCCTAGTTATACATTACTTATACATCTTACAACTGCGGTGAACTCACCCACTCGAAAACTCATCCTGGGGTGAGCCCTCCAAAATATGCGCCTTGACGCCTTGTCATTGTCAGAAACACCTTGTCAGTAAGCCCTGAGGTGGCAGCCCAACATCTGCTTTGGCTTGGATTAGGGTTTGGCACGCCTGCCAGTCGGGTTTTTGATGTTTTTTGATGATTTTTGGATCATGTCATGAAAAATCTCCAAAATTGCTGCAGTTTGTCATATCCAGATAGGACAGTCGCAGTCATGGAGAAAACTCCAGCGTTGCTTTGCATCCAACGGTCGCGCCTGCAGGTGGCCTTCTTTGGAAGCAAAGTGAAGGGCGCTCCAACCATCTTCTTCGACCTGAGATCATGAATCAATGACCTGTTTTTTTACAGTATTTTTCTGAAAATATTTATCCATTATTATTACAGACATCAGTATCATCGTCAGACCAAGGGAAAGACAACAAGTGAAGGGCAAAGAAAAGGTCCCATGACTTCATCACTTTACCGGCAGGCAACCTATATCAACGGAACAACATCCAACATCTTTCCCTGAAAATCCTGGAACTGATGAGAAATCTCATTTTCCCATGGGTTTCAACAAAAAGTGGAGATCTCCATAGATCTATCGGCTTCCATCGTCCCAGCCCTGCCAGAAACAAAGTTCTCCGGGTCCCATGCGGCATTGATCTCCGCCCGGGCTTGAATGAGGCGTCGGACGCAGTCCGCAGAGCCTGTAGGCTCTGTAGATTCGATGGGGGATGCCGTGGAGAAATCATGGGAAACCAACAGATGGGGCAACGAGAATGGAAAAAAAAAATGGGATATGATCTGCTTGATTAAGCATCAGAAATGGACGGTAAAGCAGGTAACATGGTTTCTTTTTTTCTAAAGATGTCGATATGATGGGGATATAGAAGGTGTAATGGTATATGTAACCAACAATAATGAGAATGCTTGGATGTTTCCACTTATCTAAGTCTATCATCATTGATGATCGTCCATTTTTCATAGGAAACCAATGGCGACTTAAGGCGCTTCAGGTACCCCAATTCCTAGGAACACCCATTTGGGATCATTTGGTACACAAAATCACCAGAAATCCATCGAGTCTTTCGCTTTTGCAACACTTACGACCTGACTTGAGGCTGAGGATCACACCCTTCTGGGCAGAAAACCTCATGACGGATGCCATTTTTGCGATGCACCATGTCACCATGACATCGTTAGGCCATTTTTTTATCCAGAAATTTTTGGTAAAAAGCCAAAAACAAAGTTGGCAGCGCCGCAGCGGGGAACCACAATGTTTAACGGTCTTTTCCGTGCAAGGAAACCACCAATTTTTTGGGCATCCAAGGACTTAGCGCCTGAGATTCTGACATGATCGGCGTCATTCCCACAGTGGGTGGGTCATCGACTGCGGAGCGACTGAGAGGACTGGCACTGGGCGGGCTATGCCCAAGACTTGCAGAGTGTGAAGCTGGTTACCCTGAATCTGCCAAAATAGAGCATCAAAGATTACGAACAGGGAAACCCCCCAATTCGATGATAAATTCAATGGATTGGTTAGAGTGAAAATCCACAGGAAACCATGGTTTTTACCCCACCAGCTATGGGGGTTTTCCTGCAGATGGCGCCTTTTTTGCCCGGCTCAGGCTTTTGCGGCTTCATCACCTTGCTGTGAAAAATCATCACCTTTTCCTCACCAATGGCCATAAATTGTTCTAGGGAAACCAATATAAACCATCAAATTAGGGCGATCCCATGTTCAGACACACAGAAACATATCAAATTACACTATATAAATGTATCATATACATCAACCCTGGATTCATAAACCCCTGAGCTGTCTTGTTTTTCCAACGGGGGTAACATTTTCGCAGCATCACCGAGCGGCAAGGGGTCGTCTTGTCTCAGTCCACGCGCCCTTGTCCAAAGCATCGCTGAGACCGCGCAGGTTGCCCTGTCAATTGACCCACCCAGTTGGAGACGCAGCCTTAAAAAAAAATATGGTTTGATAATTTGTTGTCACTGGGTTACCCTATTTTTTTGTTTTACAGTGGTTTACCCTATGTTTTCTTTGTTTTACACTGGTTTACCCTATGTTTTCCTCGTTTTTACACTGGTGAATCGCCAAAATTCATCTGTGGTTTCTACGAAATTCTCACTGATCAAAATCCTGGAAAGCATCCAGCCTGTCGGGCATATTGCAGAAGCTCGTGGTTCAGAAGCACCTCAGCTCTGTGTCAAGATTCCGCCATTCTGGAGACTGGCCATGCTGGGGATGATCAAGACATATCAAGACTATGAGCCACATGCATCTGTACCCATACTGCACTTCTAATACATATACATATACATATGCATATATATATAGTTATATATATATACATTATATATATATATATGTATAATTGCAGATACGTTATATATATATAATTATGTATAAATACAGTGTATATACATATTTATAATAAAAGGGAATACATATTATATCATGTCATATTAAATATCAATTTTATATGCCATCTCTCATCCCGAAAAGCTCCATCTGATACGCCGCTCCCCGGCCTCATCGCTTATTCGAGCACCGCCACGGTTGGCCGTTGCAACCATGCTGGTCACACCCTCCTGGTCCCCATGAAAAATGGAGCTTTGAATGGGAATTCACCCATGAATTCTGGATAAAAAATCGGAAAATCCCCTAGAAAAATGGAGGTTTGAATGGGAAAATCACCTATACTTGGAGATTTTATTCGGGGAAAAAACCCTTAAATGGAGGTATATAGCAGGGAAAAAACAGCTATATATACATGGTGGATTTTCAATTGCCATGGATTTGATTACCAGAGGGTAACAATCAATACCTCGAGATTCCAGAACATTCAGATTCAACATATTTGTTCGAAGTTCACTTCAGAACCCCAGACCCACGCGAGGTTTTCACAGGCAACCCATTGATATCCCATTAAACGCCCCATTAAACTCCCATTCATACCCATCAACATCCCACTAAACTGCCATTAACATCCATGAAACTCCAATCTCCAGTGCTTTCGACAGGTGCTTTGTCGACCGACGTTCGAAAACCGCCAGGGTCCTCCAGGGCTGTGCAGACAACGACCACATCTTCATCCCATCCGCCAGATCCTCCGCCATGGAAATCATGTGATCGAAGAATGAAACATGGGCGGGACTAGCAGGAAGACATGTTCATTACGATATTTATAATTAACAATGTCAAATAGTGCATGAACATATGAAGTACTTCATTGAAATTCATGGATGAATGGAAATGCAATAATATCAATCTACTTGGGGGAATGAGTGGCGATAATCATACAATGATAACCCCCAGGCCCCATGTTCGTTCGGATATCAGGCACTATAACTGTGGCTCTTCAAAGTACAGGTGTATACCCCCAAGTTCTGTCTATCCTTGTGGGGAAAATGACATAGTTTAAGTTTAAACCATTGGAATTGTTTGAAATACCCTTTGGTTATTTAACATAGCTATGGAAAATTACCCTTTTTAGTGGATAAATCATCTATAAATTGGCAATTCTAATCATTTTCCATAGCCATGTCACATCAGCAGCGGGTAATGTTCAAAACAAAACCAAAGATCACCTCAGAAAAATTGAAAAAAAAAATCGGCCGTTTCCTAAAGTAGGGGTACCCCAAATCATCATCCAGTCGTCATGGATGACCATGACTTAGTATAGGTTAACCATGGTGACGACTGTGGTCCCCCCAGGACCCCATGCCCTGCCTGCTTGGTGAGGCTGATTCCGTTTTGGACCAGGCTCACCCTTGGCAACCAACGGTTTGGTCGGAACATGGGTTCACCCCCAAATTTCCCCATGTCAATATCAACTTATGGGGCATTGACAGCATTGATAGGAAATTGATACCTACCAAGCATCAATTCCAAGTTCAAAATCCAAGAGACGTCTGTCCCTTTGGCACCATCGCAGGTCCCAAGAACATCGATACCTCAGTGTTGTTCAGCCATTGCTCGGGTTTCACTCCGGGGTCCTGATGGTCCTGGGCCTCGGACTTTGTCCCATGGGAAAGTTCAACCCAGGGCCCCTTTCATTCGGAATCCAGATTGGTTTCAGAGCAAATTCAAGCCTTGCGAACCAAAATGTTGCGGACAAGAGAAAATGACGCTGCGTCCTGAAGTGACAAAGAGAACATGCAAGAATGAAATTGCTGGAAACTTGGTGTATAGGCGATTTACAAAAGCAAGAACATGTCCACTGCATGTATGGACCCAAAATCCAAACGTTCAGCCAACAGAAGACAAGAAAAAGTTTTTTCCAAGTGCGTCAAAAGAAAAAGAAAAAATACTTTCTTCGAGCGAACCCCACCGTGAAACATGATCCTAACATAGCTTCTGACATACCATCTGGAAGTATATACGTCGTATTTATTCTGACATTCTATCTGGCATCTATTCTAACGTACTTTCTGGCATATCTTCTGACATTCTTTCTGGCATTCTATCTGCCGCTATATCTTCGAAGATTCTTTGTGGTCGATGTCCGGCGGGGAACACTCTGATCCTGGGTTTGCTGTTCGGGTCCGGCGGGGAACACTGCGATGTAGCGCTTGCAGCTGAGGTCCGGCGGAGGAGGAGGTGGAGGAGCAGGAGGCGGAGGAGGCGGCGGAACAGCTGACACAAAATCTAACAAACCCTCACCTGACAGGTGGGGAAAAAAAGTAAGATTCTGAAACATTCTGGGCAACGACGTGGTTGAATTGTCTGAAATTCTGCATGAAGCACCATGTGCTCCAAACTCCTTCTGCCCACACAGATTTCTGCAGTTTTTGCACGGTCTCCAGTGAGATGGTGGTGAATAAACATGGCGAATTTCCCAGCAATCTCAACAGGAATGGGTTTGGTCCTTGCTAGCACTCCATGGCACGGCCAGTTCTTCAATGCGGCAAGCCATTGGGCTACGCAAATGGCAGCTCTTACTTCAGCACTGTGATGTGGCATGTTTTGATAGTTGATATGTGCCATATGCCGCATGTGAAGTGTCAGCTTGCAACCCTATGCGACTTTCAGTGGCAAGCACCACTGTTTTGGGGCAAAATGACTGTACTAGAGTGAACCTTTGAACCACCCTGTTCTATCAATGATGATCCATTTTGGAAAAAAAACATTAGCAATGGGATTGAAAATTGTCAAGGCTGTCCGGGGAAGGGAACTGGGTCAAACAATTTCCTGCAATGGCAGTCGATACCTGGACAAAGCCGCTGTTGCTGGCACAATCAATTCATGTCCACTGGTGTGGCAACACACAATGCCCTGTTTTTCTTCGTCGACACAGCGCATTCCATTTCTTCGGTTTGGTCAAGCAAGTCCTGCGCAAACTGTAAGATCTGTGAGCATCGGGGGCAAGGACCAGATTTGCTGGCAGGCAAGAGGTGTTCAATAATTAAGCCACAAGAACTCAAGTGGGTTCGTCTGAAAGTAGGCTACCCCCAAGATTTAAAAGTTTATCATCATGCCATATGATCCCTATATAGTATACCCCACACACCCAAGTGAGTTGACGCAAATTGTCCATAAAAAAACACTGAATCCTCTCCTGTAGGTGCTTCAGCTCCCCAAAGCATGCCTTTAGCCTGCGAAGTTCCAGAGTGGGGTGACCACATTGGCCATGGATTTGTCCGAGGATGCCTGGATCCAGTGACTCCGGTGGATTTTCCACATTCAAATAGGCATAAATTGGATTAAATTGGGGCATCTCACATTGTTGGACATTAGCTACCAAGTTCAAACATCTTGAACCTGCAAACATCTTCAGCTCAACACTTCTAACTCTAGGCCCTAAACTCCGTCCAACATCCACTTTCCCTTGACTCTCAACGACTTTTCCAGCACTTTTCTGGCGTGTTCATCAAGCGCAGTGAGTTTCCTTCCCCCATTTTTCCCATCATTTTGGTTTCTCCAAAATGTGGGCAAATTTACCCCCTCGGTGCCTCCGGCGGATGGCATCACGACCATGAGGCGAGAATTTCCGCCTGCCATCTCCGTCCAGGAGCAGCTTCAGGGCCTGGGCCATGGCGGCCATGGTCGTCCGTTGCGTATGATTCATATTGATTTATGATTTAAATTGATGATAAATCCATGTAACTTGAATTTAAATCATCAATTTAAAGCAATGTGACATCCCATTTGATCATGTAACTTGAGTCTAGATAATCAATTATTCATCAATGTTACTTGACCATAATCATTTAATAATTCGACAATATTTATTAATCATCCCATTTTTGGAAAGAATCTTGCGAAAAGTTGGGAAGATCTGAATCCCACTTTTGACCATGGCACATATGGGAGAATGAGCCAAATATCCGCGAAATATATCTAAATATGGGATATGTTGATGAAGTTGAGACCAAGATACGAGATGATACGAGTATCTTTAGGCTAGGGGGCTGGAAAGCCAAACAATCCAGGGATGATGATAGAGGTATCCTGATACTTACAGCCAACTACATTGTTGTTGATAAAGAAATGCCAGAAAAAAAATCTAAGAGATGCATAGAGCACCAAAGATGAATAGATCGACCAACAGAATGTTTGGATACAGCACAACAAGCTGCGTACAATCAACTAAATATGGATATATCAACACGCCGAATGTATTGACCAACAACATGATCGCTAAGCATACTAAACTAGGGATGGCTGATGTACACCTTCAATAGTTGGTTGGTATGATGAGTCGAAATTGAAGGACCCTAGTTCCACTGATCAGCTCTGCACTTCAACAAAGCCAACCCATGTTTCAGTTACCTCATGGCTTGCAAAGCTTGCAAATCAAAACCCCAACACAAGAGACTGATATAGTTACAGAGCTTCCAAAGAAAAGAAGGGAGCTTAGACATCAAAAACACAGAAGTGCTGGACTCCTTTCCTTCATGGAGGTACGATCAAGACATCAACATACATCGACAACTGCATTCAACGGGCCATAGTGCTATGCCGCTACGACTCATGGCCTCTGGCACGTGTTGCCGCGTTTCTGCCACATCGATTTCACAGGCCCGCAACAAGCATAGCGTGGCGCCTGGGAACTGATATCGTTTGAGCTTCAAGAAATGACCGAAATTGTGAGTCTGTTGACCCCTTTTTGATCTTTTTGAAGAGATCTGATGACATCTGAGCATCCCACGATATCTATCTCCAGCAGAGCAACCTTCTAAATCACCAGGCACACACTGCTGCAATCGCCGTGCAACTTGCCTAGGCAAGAGCGGCTCTTGCCAGAACTAAGAGCAACTGAGAAATCACAGTCACAACACATGACACAACTCGCAGAAACATGTTTTTTGCACTGCAGCCATCAGCTTCCGACAACGCAAGACCCGCAACCTGCCGCTCGCAGAGGTGAACCCTAGTGCTTGGATGTGCTTGGTGGTTTGGTGCTTCGCCATGAAGATTCTCCTTGATGAAAACCACACGAAAATCACATGACCAGTGACCAATTCACACCGGGCCGACCTGCAAAGGACCAAGGATGCGTTCCAGCGCCACATAAAAGTTCAACCTGGGCACGGTCGAAATCACGACCGGTTAACCGGTCAGAGGTTCCTGCTCCAATCGCCGAGGGGCACACATACCTCTAGGCACGAAGCGTGAAACGCCTGAGACCAATCAGCACTGACATCTGACACTTAGAAAAACTATGGAAAAACTCAAGTGATGCGATGCAGAAACTCAACCACAATGTAATTGTCAACCGAAGTGTAAAGGAAAGGGAACGAAAGTCAAGGACCTCGCCCCTTGTCGTCGCTCACCCAAAGCTCTGAGCTCTTCGCGACGAGTTCCATGCTCCAGCAGCACTTTGGCCTTGCAGTTCTTTATGTCTGGCAAAGCATCAAAGTTCGGCCTATCAGTAAACATTTACCCTCCAGCAATCAAATGTGGCTAGCTGGAAAATCCATCATTTACTTCGATGATTTTACCAGCTAGAAACCTCTATTCATGGGAAATTTCTAATTGCCACTATCACCATACTGTCATACCATGGTTTGTTTGTCTGGGGTTCCGAGCAGCTTCAGCGATTTTTTCAGAAGCTTGAGGGTTTTTGGCAGAGAACCTGTGGCATCCGCTGGAGCTTCGTCAAGGCCTTGTTAGGTCTAGCTTCTCGGCCATTGAAGCTTAGCTTTGTCTGAAAGCATACCCAAAAAATACTTCAAAGTCCAATGCTTTTAAGTGTCCCTTTCAAAATAGCCATGAATTGTGGGGTAGACCATCCTCCAGTCTTTTTTTTACCCGGAAAAAATGTGCACCTGAAGACTCTGGAGCAGGAAAAGGCTGAGATCTCCAAATGCATGGGACCCATCCTCATGGCAAAATGCGAAGCTCTGGGGCACAAAGACAGCTGAAGCTCTCTCTGCTCAAGTCACAAATGGATGGCAGCTGAAACGGATGGCTTTGGTACCTGAAAATTTAGGGAAACAACTTGAAACAACCCATTCCGTCCCATGGTGGAGAACATCGTTGTTTCTTGGAAACGACCCTTGGATGATGGGGAAACGGTCGACATCGGTCGGCACAGCCAGTGGCCCCAGAAGGGCACTCCTTGCAGCATGGCGAGCAATTGCGCCAACGAAGAGGTTGCAAGATGGGCCTTGAAAGCCGAGAACAGGATGCAGAACTGGCAACACAGGAGCTAGTTGGTGGCCTATGGGAAATATCAAATACAATGCCAACCCTGAAGATCTACCATGGGTGAAAATTTGGGCGGGTACTCCCTAAATAGTGATAATCTGAGATATACTTCAATGGTACCACAATTAAAGAGCCCAGGGTTGCCTCGGGGTTGATTCATCCAGGCTTGACATTCTTGGACTATGTTGGATGTCTTGGATCCAATTTTCTTTGGTTCATCCCAGCAAATTCTGGTGAGGGTCTGGGGTCACTGGTGAGTCACTTGCGCACCCGGATTTTGAGTCACTTGCGCACCTAGAGGACACAAAGTGGCATACCCCTATTGGGATTTCTATTGGGGGACAAGGGGACAAGGGACCTGGGGACTTGGGGACACAATCTTCGTGGACAACTTCTACACAAGTCACTAAAACCTGTTTTGAGTCACTTGGCGACACGTCAGGGGATAGGGGGACAAGGGACATGGGGACAGGTGGGGGGTATGGGACATGGGGACAAGTCAATATGGGACAGGTGGGGGCGTTGGACGGGACATGGGAACAGGTGGGGGCACGACAATGGGGCAGGGGATTGGGGGACGTAGGGCATAGGGACAGGTCAACATGGATTAACATGGACATACATGGACTACATACACATTAGACTAGACGAAAACATGGACAAGTGACCAACAACCGGGTGCACTAGTGATCCCAGTCCCTTAAGAAAAACCATCTTGACGATCTTGACATAAGAAATACGGGAAAACCTTGTTAAAAGTTCAAGGATTAACATATGTCTAACAGGCCCTGAATTGGTGCCATGCGTTCATAAGTTCCGGTGCATAAAGGAATTTCTGCCACACCTCGTCAAATAAACAAACCGGAATTCCATGCACTTTCATAGCTGGCCATTACCCACATTCACGGCCACAGCACAGAGACACCTTGATGCAATCTTTTTCAGGTGACTCACAACATGTCCAGTTTGTTTATATGACATCCGCTCAATAAATAGCATCTGTCCAATCTGTCCTATGGATTCCTATAGCAACTTTCAATATAACGCTGTGCAAACTAATTCTTGAGGAACATCGTTGGTGTTCACATCCTAGAAATCACAACTCGTGTCATTCACCGAAACCGACCGTTCCTTAACTTCTGTAGAGGCGGACGAATGTGCGTGGTTGGCATCCACATAATCATGACATCCACAGAGGTGGCAACTCCCGTTCCATTCCAGGTCATTCATGTCCTCGAATTGGCATTCATTCCTTCCTTCCTTCCTTCCTTCCTTCCGTTTCATTGACTGTTGCATTCTTTATTTCTTTCATTTCATACTTAGATTCATGCTTTCATCTCGTGCATTTCCTGTTTTTACATGTCTTACCTTGCGGACAAATATCTAACTTGTACTTACTTTCCCAGAGATGTCCACAATTTCCCACCATCCCAAGCAAAGGCAAATGTGGCAGGCGCACCAAGCGACCCAAAATCTACAGGCATAATGAGGCAGGTGCACAAGCGCGAAAAAATATACTTGCTCCATTTCCTGCTAATTCCTAGGGTTTCGTAGCTTTCCACAGACATGAGGAGATGTTCAGGTGCATAAGCGAGAAAAAAACCAGGTGCACAAGCGACCCCCATGCCTTCTGTTGTTTTTTGTCTTGGGGATGGTGGCATTTTGTGCGGATCCCACAAGAAATTCCATGGCATTTCTGTTGATTGGTATCAAAACACCATCCCAGTGCTTGAAAGCCCGCACTGAGGAGTGAACCCCATAGCAACTTTGAGGACGTAGAGGAAGCACCTGACCCATCTGAGAGATTTTTTCCAAGCAAGCTGGAAAACAGTGGCTCGGGTCGGAACCACTTTTTTTCTATACCCTGTGCCATGGTCTAGTTACATGTTTTTTGTGCGATGGTTATCCATCCCATGACGTGAATTGTTCTCACGAGTCTATAAATCTCTACAGTCAAACAGATTCATGACCATCCCCCCAAAAAAACGGTATCTCGTCCAAATTCTGACTAACATATATGGGTATATCATGGTATATCATCCAATTTTCTATAGTTTTTTTGTTGCTTATGCAATGTTACTTATCCCATGCAATCAGTTTTCACGGTTCAATCCATTCCAAAATGAGTTGATCAAGCTCCAGGGGTCCAGGCGAACAAGGCTCACCAGCATCATTGGCGCACTCAGGCCCCATGTCTCGAGTGCGCCACAGAAAACGACCCCAGCGTTGTGAATCATTTGGAGGCTTCCTACAAACGGACGGATGGTTTGTAATGGAAAATCCCATTAAAGTGGATGATTTGGGGTACCCCTATTTTAGGAAAACCCCATTTAGTTTCTGCTGAAGTGGCAAATCTGGAGTGACCAGCAAGGCTTGGTCATGTCGTTTTTAACCGTGTTTGCCCAGTTTGGATATCCAAATTATCCAAGTGTCCTGATGTTTTGGCAAACACAATTCCACCTCCGGGCCCGCTGCCAGCCTCCTCTGAGAATTGAAGCGCAGCATGTTCTATTCTGGCAGGCAGAAACCAGAGCCAGGTGGAACTCTACATTTCCAGCCCAAAAAAAGACTCCGGGTTCCATCCGGATCTGTCAAGTCACCAAGTCTAAGATATTTGGGACGAGACTCCAATCGCAATCCGGGCCTTTGGAACACTTTCTGCAGCTCCTGGGGGACTTTTCCCACCAGCATGCTGGTACACTCGATGGCTATGATACTGTGGATGAAAGGCGAAATAGTGCACCAGTTGGGATTCCAATGAAGGTAACATGATTCAACACTGGGGCTATAATGGGATAACAGGATAAACCAGGATAAACCGCCCATCTACCAATTGGTGCGAGGATTTAACAACCATCCTTGGGGTGCATCCCAGGTCATTTCCCATGGGCTAAACGCCGTGCTGAAATGGGGCACCCTGATTTTGGGAAACACCAGAAAACTGGTTGCTCGCCATTTGCTACGCGTAATACCGTTTGTTGTATGATTTTGATACGTATATACAAATATACACTCTTTTACATATCTACATATCTACGTATCTACATACGTACATATATACATATACATATATATGTATATACATATATAAATATGTATATACATATACATGTTTATCTATATATATATATACATATACATAATATACATATATACATATATATATATACATACACATAGTATACATAGATACAAATATATATATACAAACATAATATACATGTATACAAATATATATATACATATATATATATGTATACATATATATACATATGTATATATATACATATATATATACACATATACATAAATATACATATATATATATATATATTTATACATATGTATACATATATATACATGTATATTTACATATATATACATATATGTTTATACATATATATAATATACATATATCTATATATAATATACATTTACAAATATATATATATATATATATTTACATAAATACAATATATTTACATATACATATACATACATATATATACATATATACATGTACATATACATAAATATATATATATGTATGTAATATATAGATATATATTTGTATATATATGTATATTTGTATATATATATATACACATATACATAAATACATGTTGACATATTTACATATGCATATTAAAAAAATACAAAACACATATAAATACATACATATATACATATATACATATATAAATATGTACATTTATACAGTTTTACACATATACACATATACATAAATACACATATATATATACATATATATATATACATATATACACATATATACATATATACATATATACAGATAAACAGATAAACAATTATACATATACATTTGTACATTTATACATATATACATTGATACATTTATACATATATACATGTATACATTTATACATATATACATTTATACAATGATACATACATACCATACCATACCATACATTACATTACATTACATTTACATTACATTACATTACATTACATTACATTACATACATACATACATACATATTTACATCATACATCATATTTACATAGGGGTCGGAATTGTTTTGGGGTTTTTTTTCCGCTTCGGGTTTTTTGTTGGATCCGTTTTTTCTGCACGTTTTCCACGCTAGTTACAGCATTTTGGAGCTGGAAGCTGCCATTTCAACTGTCTTTGCAACATTTTCAATTTGAAACCTCTCATTTTCCATAGAATTTGCAACATTTTGGTGGAATTTGAAACATTCTGGAGCTGGAAGCTGCTGCTTCAACGGTATTTGCAGCATTTTTGAGTTCGAACTGTTCATGTAACATGGTAGTTTGCAACTAGGACTCATTTAGGATTGGTTTTAGGGTTAGTTTGGGAGCTTTGTTTGTTTAAGTTTTTTTGAGGGTTGGTTTTAGAGTTAGGCTTTATTTAGTTTCCTGGGTTAGTTTAGGATCTTTTTAGGGTTTGTTTTTGGCTTTATAGGCTTGGCTAAGACCTATTTATGGTCGGTTTAGGACCTATTAGGGTTGGTTTAAGGTTTGTTGAGGGTTGGTTTTAAGTCTATTTAGGCCTGGTTTAAATATATTCAATATTCAAGGATCTTTTACTGTTTATTTAGGCTTGGGTGAGCTTCTATTTGGGGCTGGTTTAGGGTGTGTTTAGGGTTTGTCCAGGCTTGGTTTAGGATCTATCTGGAGTTGGTGTAGGACCTATTCAGGATTGGTTTAAGTGTGTTTAGCGTTGGTTTAAGACTTAAGATTTATTTAGGTCTGGTTTGAGATCTATTTAGGGCTGGTGTAAGGTTTATTTAGGATTATATAGTTCAAATTTGCCTGAGAAGGGGGACGAAAGCCAGGAACTAGTTGGAACGGGGAGACGAGAGTGGAGAGGATGGGAGGGATTTCGGCGGGGGTTGGTGGAGGAGGCGGCAGTGCGAGGCTATATTGAGTGCCGTTCTGGAATCCGTGGGGAGAGGGAAGGAATGTGCAGGAGGCTTGACATACTATACTTGACACTCCATATGTGGCATTTTACATTCCACACTGGACTGGTTCGACGTTAGACTTTACAGTCTATACTATAGAATCGACACCCCTACATTTCATACTGTACAAGTTATATTTTACATTCCTGGCTCTTCACTGCACACCTGACACTGGCCAGGAACAGGAAACAATGGGATTTTCTAATTTTTCCATCAAGTATGACAATGATGGGGTTCCATAGATTTTGCTGAAGGCAAGCTAAGAGGGAGCCATGCAAAAGTAAGAAACATTACCAGTACGAGTAGATTCTGCAGATGGTGGATTCATCCAAGTGTGTATCAAGTTCCTCATCTGCTAGCTTCTATTAGTCAGAATCCATGACGAGACGATGTCTCAGAGTTTCAAAGTTGAGCTATGTCGAGCAACTTCCGGCAAACTACTTTGGAGTCTTCATGCCTGCTATAGAGGTGTTTATTGGGGCTTTGCTGTGCGACTTTGGACGACTGCCACCCATCAGTCCCTGAATGGCTCTACAAGACCGCAAATCAATTCTCAACACTTTTTATAAAGTGTTTAGAATTCTTAGCATCGTTCAAGACCGACAAAAAGCGTCATGAGTTGCCCGAAAAGAGGAGGTGGAGGTCACTTTTGGGTATGTATAACCTCCGAGAAATTAAACATGATCCACTACAGGATGACAACAAAATTATTTATGAGAATCACAATAACAACTTCATTTCGGTATGTTTGTCGGGATCAAAATCTAGTGCCCCCCAAAATATATTGACATCTTGTAGACATATATGCATAGATGCATACATATACATATATATATATCTATGTAATCTATACACGATATGATATGATACTATGTTGTAGTTGTAAACTGGTGGAATACATCGAATCCCGTCCGGTGGATATCAAATGCTGTCTGCTTGCAAGCCGCAATACTGCAAAACTGTGGGCTACACATGGCTATACACATGTGATTGCAAAGCTTTCGGATCAGACACCCGTTTTGGCGACCTCAAAATCGGGGCCGGCATTGAAGCCATGCATGCAGTTGGGCTACAAAATACTTATGAACAAAAAAGGTGCGATGGTTCGAGACAGCAATAGTTTGCAAAGCAGCTGCAAAGCCGATGCTGCACTAGTGGACCATGTGAGACTCCGTTCTTGCTTCATTTCCCCCTCCATTCCCGTCGCCCACAATGCACGTTTTTCCGTGCCCCCAATGCACGTCACTGGACGGACCAGGGGGGAATCGAACCCCACCGTCACCCAATTGCCACCTGGTACATCAGCCTCAAAATCGACCACGGTGGCCACCCTATTCAGTTGGGGAAGTGCCTCAAAATGGTCCGTTTTGAAGCGACCGCCCCCCGGACCCCCTATTCTCACTTCGTTCGCAAAGAGCAACTTAAGCCAAGCTTGACAGCTGGCTTTCGTAATTTAGGGAGTGTTAAGGATTTACTTCGAGTTGCTTTAGTGTTTCTTTGGTTGGTTTGGGGTTTATTTATGGTTGATTTAGGGTTTACTTACATGATGGTTCTTAAGGATTATCTGAGAGTATGAGACACAAAAAAGGAGGAAAAAGCAGAGAATCGGAAAAGCAGGTAAGCAGAGAAGCTGGAAAAGCAGGAAAGCATGGAAAAGCAGAAAGCAGAGAAGGAGAGAAGCAGCGAGGCAGCACAGTGGAGAAGCAGAGAAGCGAAGAAGCAAAGAAGTAGAAAAGTGGAGAAGCAGAAGCAAAGAACTATAAAAGAAAAAAAGCAGGGGAAAGCAAAGAAACGGGGAAACAGAATTTTAACAAAGAACGCAAAACGGGAAAAAAAAGTAATTCACCCAAAAAAAATCCTCCATTCACATATATGTAACATATATACATATATGCATATACACAAATAAACACATATACATATATGCATACATACATAAGTACATATATACATTTTACATATATATATATGTATAACATATATACATTTATACATATATAGATATATACACATACATACATACATACATTTAAAAATATGTGCAAATCAACATATCCACAAATAAACATATATACATATTTACATATTTACATATTTACATATTTACATATATACATACATACATATATACATATGTACATATATACACATATACATATATACACATATACACATATACATATATACATATACAGAAATAAACACATGTGCATATGTACATATGTACATATATACATATATACATGTATACATATATACATATATACATATGTACATATATACATATATACATGTATACATATGTACATATATACATATATACATACGTATGTACATATATACATACATATATACGTTTATACGTATATACAGATAAAAACAATTACAAATAAGCATATACATATTTACATATAAACATAAACACAAATAAGCACATATACATATTTACATATAAATATATGTATATATAGGGCGATGGCTGTGGGTTCCCCGGAAGCCAATTGCATTTTATTTGTATGGATATGGAAAATGTTGATTTGACACTGTGTTTTACAGTGTTTTATGCTTTTCTCTGAAAGTGTTCGATCAGCCAAAGTTTCAATGTCGGCGCGGATAAACTTGAGGTTTGTCCGCGCAGAAAAATGATAAATTTACATCTTCCATGGATGGCAAAAAATGTGTGCAACATTCTAACCATTGGAATTGCGGTTTCATGCATTTTTGGTCGTTTTGTTGATAACTAGAAAATGTCATAATTCACTGGAGAACCATGGACGAAATGAACATCACACCTTTTTCATCTTCACGTCCACAAAGGCTTTTTGAAGCAGTTGCTTGGAGCGAGAGCAACAAAGATACTTACAACGTAACAACATCGTCAACGAAGCAAAATCCTCAAGGTTTCCACAACTCTGAATCCAACGCAGTTATTACACCCCCACACCCCCCCCACCCCCCTTCTGTAAACAACAACGATACTTGCAACGTAACAACATCTTCAACGAAGCAACATTCTCAAGGTTTCCACAACTCTCAATGCAACGCGCTCCACATGACGTTATTACACCCCCCCACCCCCCATCTCTATACCATGACGACGTTTGTAGTATAGGCTCAAGACTGAGGGTTCCTGGAAGCTCCGGGGAACCCCCAGCCTTGAGCCAATATATATATATATATAAATAAATACATACATACATATTTTTACATATACATATCATGCATTAGACTGATATGGATATGCGTCAAAACGGTGGTACTGCTCTGTTCCATCAAAATAGCTTGTAATTATGGATCTTCATCCCCCAAAATAATTTAGTTCTTTTCAAATGTTTTACCCGGCTCCGTATACTAATACCCACAGGCTCATAGGTTGTTAACCACTTACTGGCTGGGATTCACATCTAAGTACAAAGGACGTGTGTGTTTTTTTGTTTTTCATTGGACACGACTTACTTGGATTTGTCGGAAAATAGTCTACCCCTAAAGTTCATGATGTATCTCGTGTGTCATCATTGTTCCTATTAAATACATAGTCATCAACAAGGAGTGAAATTCCTCATTTCGACACGCCCAAATCGGAGATAGTTGCTTTTTTTTTGATCCATGAAATGTCTCTTCTATTCTCATGAATATCTTACGAAATCCCGCATCTTTTCATCCTTAACGCGAGTACCACCGGATAATCCCGCCGCTGACCTCGTCTCCCAAACGATCGTGCAGCTCCAGCAGAGCGGAGGACCAACACCTCTGGTTTTTTGGGCGACTTTGCGAATTGAGAAATCAACCATCCATTTTGGCGACTTTGCTGAATTTGGATGATCTTCAAGTGATTGGCCAAATGAGCCATTGCGAACTGGAAGAAAAATGACCCCTTGCGAAATGGCTGAAAAACATGATGGTTAAGAATGGTGATTTTTCCGGTTCGCTACGTCAAATAACCAGAGGGTAACCAAGCCAAAATGGATGGTGGAATGGATTGTTTTTTGAAGCCCGAAAAAGATCCAAAAGGAAACTCCAATCTGAAAACAATGAGAAACTACTTTTCGATCTTTTTGGGGGTTGCCATAATGGATCGTTGAATGGATATCCTTCGACATTGGTTGGTTAGAGGAAAATCTTACAATGCAGTAATGTGGAATTGCAAACACTGAGCGGAAACGGTCCACGTTTTTTGTGCCAAAAGGAGCTTCACGAAGGTGAAATGTTCTGACATGTTTTTCATGTCATCCAAGTTCAAATGACTGACATCTGAACGCGCTTGACATCTCGTTTTGTGCGTGTCATCCTTGCCATCAGCACAACAAGCAATTGTTTGTAGAAATTGACATTCCAAAGAGAAGGGGGGGCCGCGGGGCCTCCAATTTCTTCCTGAAAGTAATGGGACGCACGACCCAAAGTCTTTCCTTACCCCATGCATCGACACTGGGGTGCAGAGGGTCCCCTGAGTTTCCATACGTAAGGTTTGATGGCGGTTTCCCTTCGATGGGCAGGTCACGTACCTCGAGAAACCAAACACCTAGGGAATCACGACACCAGTGGCGTGATATACACTGACGTGTATATAGATGGATGGATGGATGGATGGATCGATCGATCGATGGATCGATGGATCGATGGATCGATGGATGGACAGTAGACAGATAGATCAATCCATCGATCGATAGATATAGCCTTTGAGACCATGAACAGCAAGTCTATCCACTGTCCTCAAGCCATGCAAATCAAGCAACAAACGAACACTACTGGAGCACCAATTGTGGTAAAGCTGCGTCATCAAATTGAGCACGTCCTAAACAACGCCTTGGTGCGAATATCGGACCTTGCACTCCAATATCTTCAATCGCAAGGGTAAAACTCGGTAAAACGGTAAAACTCTCGGGTTTCGCACAGCTTTGGTATTTCAAAACCTGTGAGGAAACCCGGGAAACCCAGTTTCCAAACCCAGATTCCTTCTCAATCTTCTCAGGCCCTGGCAACAGCCGGATACTCAAATCTGCATCCTCGTCGTAGACAACTGGTGAGATGTTTTTGATAACGCTCTGCAATGCTCTGCAATGCTCTGCAACCCCAAGGCAACCCCAAGTGTAATTCATTGGAGCACACAACAGCATGAGCTGTTTGAGAATCATTCCGTGTTCTAAGTCCTAAGATGTCTCAACCCATGAAACCGGCGCCGCATCCAACTCATGTCGCCAAGTGTCCATATCAGATGCCAACAGTGCAAAACGGGCGAGGATTGCGTCCCAGTCGCCTCAATGGACGGTCCATGATCAACCTGAGATTCATTCCAGAAATCTCCAGAAATTCCCACCCTTCACTCATTTTTCACTCATTTTTCATTGGGGGATCCCATCCAATCCGGTCCTGAAGGCTGCCCCCTGGCAACGGATGGCCGTGCGCACAGCCGCTCCGCGTGTTGTGTGAGTTCCAGACCTCGAAGTTGGATGCCTAGATCCACTCCGATTCGTTGCAATAAACACGTTGTCTTTCCAAGGAGCGCACTGTTCATGGCAACAACGCTATGTACCTCGGATTCTCTGCACATCTGGGCCGATTATCCATTGATGTCGGAATCGCTTGAGATCGACAGTCGATTTACTGGATCATATGCGCACCAAATTCAATGTGCAATGGCAAATGCACTTCGCATTGCAATCAAAAAATTCAAAATCATCCGTGGTGAAACAACCAATTGCAGCATTCATTTTTGCATAAGAATTGATTGTTGCAACCATTGGAAAAGTATCAGCAAGGCCAAGCACAAGACAATGGGGACCTGCTTCAAATCGGTCAGAGGCCAATCTGCTCCTGTGCAAGTTGTTGGTTTCAACGATTTTTTGCGCACGTGATTCGAATGATAATTTTCTTGCATATCCAAGGTTCTTTGGTTGATGGTCAGTGCAACTGGATGTGGATCACGCAATTCATGAAATAACCTGCAAGGGCAGGGGGAAACAAATTGGATATAAAAATGTCATATGTGCCATGGTTAATGATGGGCACACAAATTCCTACAGATAACCATCCCCCAATATGGGCAACTTACAAACGCTGTGACCATGGCACATACACAAATTGTGATTGCATTACCATATTCTGGGCGTGCGGCGTTCGTTGAACACGATCCATTTTCGCCCCCGATGACCAAAACCGGAGTTTTGAGTCCATGAGTCTTGCCGACTGCCTGTTTCCAAATGTTTGACAACGTCACACCACAAGTGAAAAATATATAAAAATATATGATTCCATTAATTGATTGCAATTGCTCGCCTCTGTTTCGCCATGTCATGATGGAAGCCACTGTTTGGCAAGCAAACCGTGCGAACATGACATGTCCCGTTGCACAAGATAACACATTCGCAAAATAGATCACACATTCGTTGTTCATGCTGGCGTTTCAAAGCATGCTCAATCAAGAAAACACAGCTGCCAGTTCCACCGTGCAATGCTGTTGTATGGTTTTGTATGGTGCTATCACCCCCACATATATTTGTGGTCAAACTCAAAACAACATTAACGTATTGAAGGCTGCAACAATCAAAAGTGACATGGAAACCAATCCTGGTGAACCGGGAATGGGCTGGCGCTTGCATGTGAACACTGGACGGGCGCATTTTGAAAAAAAATTGGACAACTGATGTGGGGAAAAGAATGAACTATTTTCAATTTGGAAATTCAAACAAACAAAGTGAAATTATCAAATTTAGATTGGACCAGCGGAAACCCCAGATAAGACAAAAACGCATTGGATCGTAGCGCCGTCGCCGTGGACCACTTGCTGTTGTTACAGCTGTTGTTGTTGTTGTTGTTGTCGTCGCTCTTGTGGTGGTGGCGGTGGCGGTGGCGGTGGCGGTGGCGGTGGCGGTGGCGGTGGCGGTGGCGGTGCTGGTGCTGGTGCTGGTGGTGGTTGTTTTGTTGTTGTTTTTGTTGTTGTTTTTGTTGTTGTTTTTGTTGTTGTTTTTGTTGTTGTTTTTGTTGTTGTTTTTGTTGTTGTTTTTGTTGTTGTTGTTGTTGTTGTTTTGTTGTTGTTGTTGTTGTGGTTGTTGTTGTGTTGTTGTTGTGGTTGTTGTTGTGGTTGTTGTTGTTGTTGTGGTTGTTGTTGTGTTGTTGTTGTTGTTGGTTGTTGTTGTGGTTGTTGTTGTGGTTGTTGTTGTGGTTGTTGTTGTGGTTGTTGTTGTGGTTGTTGTTGTTGTTGTTGTTGTTGTTGTGGTTGTTGTTGTGGTTGTTGTTGTGGTTGTTGTTGTGGTTGTTGTTGTGGTTGTTGTGGTTGTTGTTGTTGTTGTGGTGGTGGTGGTGGTTGTTGTTGTTGTTGTGGTTGTTGTTGTTGCTGTTGTTGTTATTGTTATTGTTATTGTTGTTGTTGTTGTTGCTGTTGCTGTTGCTGTTGCTCTTGTTGTTGCTGTTGCTGTTGCCGCTACCAGTGGTGGCGGTGGCTGTTGTGTTGTTGGTGCGAACCATTTCACAAGGGAAACAAAAACATGGCTGAAGACAGACTGGAGGCAAACAAACTGAGCATAGAAAGAAATACACCCAGAAAATTGACATGGGGCAACCGCAGCACCCAAGAGCAGAACAAAACTCAGCCATGGAGACAGTTTCGGAGACAAGGTGGCAGTGGCAACGCAGCCAAGGGCGGCCAAAGTCATCCCCACCCCAACCGGTCCAGGATAAGGGGGGAAGGATCCCACATTTTTTCACACGTATGGGGAGCAAGGGGTGGTCAACCACTCACTTTTTGCCAAAAAGGTATGGGGACCAGGGGCGAGGGTTGACCCCTCAAAATCAGGATGTATGAGTGTCAGATGCGGGAAATGTATGTTTTGTAGGGGGTACCCAGGAATCCCTTAGCAAGATGTATAGAATCCATTTGCCAAAAATGATGTGTTTTTCGTATACCCAATCCCCCTAACATATTTTTTCTTTATCAATGCCCTTAAGGGCATTCCCCAGAAAAAATGGAACCTTCCCGGAGAAAACCCCCAAAAATGTATTAAACCACTCCCCTAAAATAAAACCCGACTCGCCGACCCATGGATCCTATTTTTTCAGGTGCCCCCTCGTCAAAACATGTATTTAGGGGGGGTCCTGGGGAATCAATTTTGGAGGACGAACCTCACCCCCCCTAAAATACATTTTTAGGGGTTGGTGATCCAAAGTCGTAATGTTGGGAAGCAAAAGGGAAACGGAAGGAAAACATAAAGGTGACAAGTTTGGGAGACAAAATGACGGCCGCAGCCAAAAATGGTTTAGTTAAATTCCCACTCAGAGACAGCAAGGAGACAAAGGGGAGACAAAGCAACAGCAGCAACCAAGGAAAGGACCGGATAACCCACAAGTCAACTTCTCCCACTATTAGAAACAGAAGATTGATTTATTTTTTTCCTCGGGTCTGGCCGTCATTACACTAAGGCACGGTCCAAGCCAATTAAAAACTACTGCGGTAGTTCAAAAGGAGGATTGGTCAGCATAGGAAACACAGAAAAACCAAAGCAGCCAAAAACCGACAAGGGAAGGCGAGTCACACTTTCCCCACCCAGAAGTGTGTCTCCCTTTAGCGAGACACACCAAAGCAACAAGCCGGGGCCCGGGCCCAACACAACCAAGAACATCCCAGGTGGCAAAGGCAAAGGTCGATTGCCTTCTGCCTAACAATTCATCCCTAATTTGAAGAAAAAGGCCTGACAAGCAGAGTGAAACAGTCCAAAAGACGACAATCTACCAAGATGGCATCGCAAAATCCTATGGCATTGATTGGCTACAAAAACTCATTGGTTTTTTAGACAGAGAAAATGGAGCAAGACGAGGGAGGAAGGAAACACGCAGAAGGTGTGTGTGTGTGTGAAAGAGTTTCGGGTGCCAAAGTTGTACATATGAAAGAGTTGCGTGTGTGTGTGTGTGAAAGAGTTGTTTGTGAAAGAATTTTCTCTGAAAGGGTGGCGTGTGAAAGAGTTGCATCTGAAGGAGTTGTGTGTGACAAAGTCGTGTGTGAGTAGTGAAAGTGCTGAGTGCAGTGCCAACGGTGCCAGGCATGCCACGCCGAACGCCAAGTGCCACACTTAGCACAACAAACGAAGGTGGGAATCGCAAAAGTGCCACGTCTACCACGCAAAGTCGCGGGAGTCCAAGAGCCCACCAGACCCAGTCCAGCGCCGCCTGCCACGCAAAACGAAAGTTGATGTCGCCAAGTGCCACGCCTGCCACGTCAAACCAAGGTGGATGTCGCCAAGTCGAAACACCTAACAACTACCCAGTTCAAGCACAAGATCGCTACGCTAGCTATACATAGGATGATTTTTCACACCAATGCGAATAAAGGTTTCACCCCTTATTCTGTACTACTGTTCTTCTTTAACGGGATGATGTTGAACTCCGGGCGACATGCACAATCGGACCCGCAAAGCTACCGCGTTACTGTAGCAGTAGAGGGGTGAAGGAGTGGAGCCCAAAAAGAGAAACAACGCATCAAGAGACAAAATCAACTGAGCAGTGCGACGCCTCATCATGACAAAACGATCAACTGCCAAGGCAAACGCAGAAAAAAGGCATCTCACCAGTAATGCCGCAGCGGAATCAGCATCTCACCATGCCATGCTGCGAAAGCCTGCGACAACAACACCAAAACAATTCCAAACAACACAGTCGTCCTCGTGGTGCAGTTCGTATCGCGGCACTCTTGTGTCGCTGACAGACTGCCGGTGGTGGTTCGATTTTTTGCTGGTCCGCGACTAAGACTCAAGACCGTAGATCCGCTGAAAGGCAACGGGCTCGGACAAAAAAATAATAATTCCAAACAACAGACTTTGACAAAGATTTGCAACCATCCTCTTTTGAGACCTTCCACCAGCAACCTTCTCCGGGATCCGCCATTCCGTTGGACTTGCGAAAGTATTGCTGTTTGTAAGGTGCGCCAGTTTTTGGCAAAAAACTGCACCAATCTCATTTTCGGAGTGAACACAAGGACTTGATTTACAAATGGCACCCATCCACCTTTGCGCTCAAAAAGGTGTGTTCTGCTGCTGTCAACTTCAGCCGCCTTGTTTGTTTGTGAATTTGCTGGTTTAAGTTTCTCTCCCACATGCCCAATAAGATTTTAAGAAGTCAAATTTCAAACTCTTTGAGCTGCAAGGGAGGCCCTAACTCCGTCTCCAAAAAATCATATCAACAATTCTCACCAAAACCCTTTTCGTCTTTGGCATTTGTTCTGAAAAGTTACTGCAGCAAACCTCGTCATGGGGTCTTTGACCAACCACACGGCCACCGACTCAAGAACCTTAACTGTCATTGCTTTGCTGACCGCAGCCAGCCAAGAGCAACCCTGATAGACCAATAGTCTGGATTAAGGGCCTGTAGTTCAGACTATAGTCCTAAACTTTTTTCAATGAGTACAGGTCTATTTTTTATTAGACCTGTACTTTTTTTCCTTCCATCCTCCCTCTGGCCTTTTTTTGTTTTGTAAAATACGTTTTAAAGATTATATTTGTAAAAAATATATTTTGGATTTTTGATTTTTGATCCTCCCTTCGTAAAACTTTGACACACAAAGTTAGATCGCGAAAACCGCTTTCAAACCTCTCGTGCACAAAGTAAACCCAAACCAAAACTCAAACAAACGGTGGTCGTCTCGCGTTCCTGTCTGTATCAGCTTTCCCAGGCCGTCTCACGGCGACACACACACCCTTTTCGAGCTCGCGGTTCTTGAGCCAACGTTTACGTTGGGTCATAGCAGTTCCAAAAACGATTCTACAAATCTAGACACGTGCAAAAAACAAACTTCTACGTGGCAAAAACCTAAGATTGGTTTCGTGCAGTTTGGTTCTCGTGTGGAATAACCTACAACGTGCAGAAAACCTAAAAACGGCTAACTACCAACGAAAAATGGCAACTCCGTCACAACTCTTTGTGACGGAATGAGATGAGATCGATTAACTACATCACAATCACCTGCTAACTACAAAACAAAGTCCAAACTACGCAAGTCCACAAACTACAACTACAAAGCAACTAACAACTACCTAAGTTCAAGCACAAGATCGCTACGCTAGCTATACATAGGATGAATTTTCACACCCCCTTTCGAACTTGTGCGACTCAAGTCCAAAAACGAATTCAGTCACTCGGCCTTGACATTCCCCATCCCATAGCAGATAGGGCATGCTAACAGCGTCATCTGCTTCGACTTCTCCGTTGTACGGCAACCTGAACAGTGATACTTCGATCCTGTTGAAGTCACAACCAACAAGGGTCCAGTCTCCGGTTGGCAAACCTGGCAATTGTCTCGGCATCGAATATGTCCATTTGGACCAGCGGCGGCAATCAAAACCTTGCATTTC